GAGAGGGGGGTGTAGCCTCGGGGGGTTTGACCGGCCTGTGAAGGGTTCCCAGTAAGCTGCTTCTCCGTTTCTGCTCCGTTCCAGCCGTCGATAACGGGTGCGTGGCGTACGCTCTGAGGACGGGCTTCAACACGTCCCAGGTAAGGGGCGAACGCGCCTTCTCCCCTCTGGCGTGTCGCCGTCGCTGGCTGCGTCGTTCAGCGCCTCGCTGTCGGGAGATCCGTAGGCAGTGCAGCAGGGGGAGGATGGAAATCAGGGCAGTAAAATCATTTGTTTGCTTGGGGAGCAAACACTCATATTTTTCAAGTGCCTTTTGAGCTACAGATCATACAAAAATCATCTGGTTCTTAATTACATCAATGTCCCTTATCTTCATCTCAAAACAGACACAAGATAGACCTAAAGAAAACGGAACAGACTTACACAGTCACTAAATCTTCTGGAAGAAGGTTGCTCTCCTCTCTGCACATCAGAGAAGCAGGCTGAGAGGTTTGATAGGGCAGCCTGGGAGTCAGGATTCGGCGTTCCCGTGGCGACTGGCCGCACAGCTCCTGGTTATCCCTGTTTCTGTGGGGATAATCCTTGGGAAAGGGATTCGAGGGTGTCTGTAGAGACTGAGGATGTGAACATCGGCTTTTTCAATTGAAAATTGAAGAGTGGTTCAAAAAAGTGTCAACTTTAGTGACTTGGCGACGAGTTTGGGGTTTTTTTTTTTAGCAGGTTAGTTAGGGCTGACTCTGGGCTGGTAAGAGGAGCGCGGAAGTGGGGGTGACTTTCAGGCTCTGGCGCCAAAACACCAGAGTGTCATTTTAAAATGGGGTTTCCTGCATATTCTTAAACTGGTGCATGCTGCGGAGAGAGCTTCTTGCACTGAAGGCTGTTCTTCTCAGGGGAAATTGCTCCGTACAATCCTCTTTGGGGTGAAGAGAGTGACAGCCAATAACTTAGAGACCTTCATTTTCATCCTGTTCCTGCTGGTCTTTGCCATTGCTGCTGCAGCGTACGTCTGGATCGAAGGTGAGGTTCCTTCTTGCCTCTTCCAGGTCTCTACACGGGACTTGTACCCAAGCCTGGGGGAAGGACAGTTGCCCTAATTTCTGAGAGTTACAGTAGCTGGGTTGGGCTGCGCTGTGGTCAGTGTAGGGCCCCGCACTGCATTCTGGATGCTTTTCTTGCCCTCCCGCAGCCCTCCCTAGGTAGGTGAGCGTCTTTGTGCTACTCGGCTCTGCGGGGCGCGGGTCTGGGGGCGAGGGGATCCACCGGGCTCCTGTCTCGCCCCCTCCAGGCACCAAGGATCCCAGCAGGAACCGCTACAAGCTCTTCCTGGAGTGCACTTTGATACTGACCTCGGTGGTTCCGCCGGAGCTTCCCATTGAGCTCTCTCTGGCTGTCAACACCTCGCTCATCGCCTTGGCCAAGCTCTGTGAGTGCCGGGGACAGCGCCAGGGCGGCTTGCTGGTGTCTGGGGCCGGGGACGCTGGTGGCGAGACGAGTGTGGAGTTACTGTGGTGTCCTGGGTGTCCCCGCAGTGACAGTGGGGGGCTGGGAGCTGGTGCACGTGGGGGGTTAAACCCCAGAGAAGGGGGGAGTTGTTGGGAGCTGGTGCACATGGAGGGGTTAAACCCCAGAGAAGGGGGGAGTTGTTGGGAGCTGGTGCACATGGAGGGGTTCAAACC